CGGAAGTAAAACTAACTGGTTGAGGTTATATGTGTGTAAATTACAGATTCCGGTTTGCAGTGGGTGCCAGCTCGATGGGTGAAACCCTGGCAAGAGTCAGCACCGCTCCAGGACATCCCCCTTGTCAGTGATTGAATTAATTGAAATTTGAGCTTAGGACATCCGTTTTGTGTATGTTTTCAGTCCTTCTTGAAGTGAAGGGAGCAACCTTTTTTACGTTAAAGTAAACAAACAAAAAAAACCCCCAAAACCCAAAAAGAACTACCCCCCACCCCCACCCCCCCCCTCCCCCAAACCTCCAGGGAAGCAAGATGAGCGCGGGATACAGACGTATTGTGTGATTTTCTGGTGGTGGGAAGGTCTCTCATATGCTCTTATCAGGGGTATTGGGCATACTGTGACGGACCGTGGACTTGGGAGCCCATATACAACTCATTTAATACAGTTTCTCTGTGATACTCATGTACTAGAAGTTGGTAAATGTAAGTATGTCCAGGTTTCTATCGACCTTTGGAGACCTTTATAGATATTGCTGGCCACTTCTTCCAACATAGGCTGGCCACCTGTGTCGGAATGAGCGTGCATTTTGGTAAGTATAAAAGCGCAAGCCTCATACGATGTGGGGGAGGCAGAGCCTCTGTGGGGATGCCCGCTAAGGATGAGCCTGCCACCTCGCACTGCAATGATGCTTCTCGGAGCTGGTTTCCTGTTAGTCTCCACAGGATCCTTGTGCCACGTTCTGTACGTGGGACTGTAGTGGGAGTAATGATTGTCTGGATTTTGTGCTTCAAACATTGTAGTTGTGTGGAGTGTGCTTGTGGGATCCCATACGTGTGTGTGTGTTGAGGGCAGACGGTGTTCTGTGTATTTTTTTGTTGTTGGGTTCATGTAAAAGTTTTTAACCGGTAACAGTTTAACATTTCGGGCAAGAAAGGGTTAATGCAAAAGTGCGGTTGCTGGCAGGTATTTATGGTTGCTGCTGAAGCAGGCAGGCAGATGTAGCTGCTGCCAAGCAGGCCGGCGTTTGTAGCTGTGCAAAGCAGGGTGAGCGAATTTGGGGAAAAAAAAAAAAAAAAAAAGCTGACCTCCGATTCAGCTCCCGGTGCTCCACCGGCGGAACGGCCAGGATGGACGCCAGAGCCGAGGAGTGAAGGAAGAAAAACCAAACAACAAAACAAACAAAAAAACCCCAACAAACCAAACCAAAACAAACAAAACCCAACCTCTCAATCTATTGAGGCAGTTTGTAGAGACACCACAGACAAAGCCTAAAGAGCACCTGCGACACAGTGGGTGCATGGTAGGAGCCTTGCTTAGTATGTTTAAGGTAACCTGGGGGTGAATCCAAGACTTGCAGGAATAGATAGATCGGTTGTAATAAGAACTGCTAACTGAAAAGGTGAGAGGGGTAGTGCAAGCACAAGCTTTATAAGCCGTCACCTAAGCAGCATCAGGGTGGCAGAAAAAAAAAAAAAGAAAAAAGAAAAAAAGAGGCAATGATGCAGCAAACTCCTCAACTGTTAACAATGTGCAGTTTAACCTGTCTGCTTCTCAAGAACTGATAACCTGGAGGAGGGGCTATATTTGTGTCCTCCTGCCTACGGGTCCATGGCGACTGCCTGCAAAGTTTGTCAAGCCTTGCCATGAGCTGGACAGAGGAATGGAAAAACCTGATGCCTCAGCTACAGGAGCTGACCATGAATACCCCAAGCAGAATGAGATAGAGGAAGAGAAAAACGAATGATTGCAAAACATCACTTGGGGGCAACTGAAAAGTAACATCCTGAATATGTGTGCTTGTAAAGTAGCTATTATTAGAGGCTGTGATTTTGTGTATAAAACCACCTGTATTTACTAGCCAGTTGCTAATAAGAAACTACACCTTGTATTGTATAGATTTGTCACTTGTAAAAGAGATGTTAGAGTATGGAAATTTGCAGTAGCTGCTAGAAAATGCTAAGACAAAAGCTGGAAAGATTCTAATACAATGGTAGTGTTATAAAGCAGGTGATGGAACAAATTAAGAGGGTGGGAGAATTCCACTGGTAAGAAATTTCTTTGGCTAGTCCCTCACTGCCATCAGCATCTTCAACATGCTGCTGCACCCTGTAATAGTTACTCTGCTAATGTAAATTTGTGTGTGCCTTGCTGTAGTAGCGACTTGTTACTGGATGAAGCGGGTGAAACTCTGCATTGACAGCAAGGTGCAAGGACTGAGGCTGACAAAATGCCTGCTCCCACAGTCAAGGGCAAGACTGGGTTGGCCTCTGTGTTTGCCACCAAGAAGAACCTTTAGCTCCGCTGTTGGCTGCAACCCAGCAGGCGTGGAGCGGTGGAGACACATGCCATGCCAGACCTTGATGTGAAGGATCAGAGAGCTATACAGCCTGTTATCAGAGAGCCATACAGCAGAAAAAAGGGGCAGGCCCAGCAGCCTGTAGTTGGCATATGTTGGAGATATAATATAGTCCAGATCCCCTGCTCAAGTAGGGTCACCCAAACCATATCTAAAACATAAAGGGGGAAGATGTGGAGACAGTGTTCACATGGGAGAACGCATAATTGGTACATAAACTTTGAATAATCCTGAAAGATACAGCAAGGCCATGAGAGGCCTGAAGAAGCTTAAGCAAGCAAGATAAGAGTCTGGAATTCACCAAGTTAATGAGAACTGTGGACTGCTGGCAAGCTTTCAAGGTTGAGTTCTCACACCTGTGTTTAACCAATTATATGTTAGTCACTGAGGGTCTTCAAAACATGTATCCAATCATAATATGCCAAATCACTGTAAGTGCTTCAGCCGGGGCCTTGGCTCAACTAAGCAGACTGGGTTGCTGAGTTGCTAAGCAGACAATTCTACATCGAAGGCAATTTCTGATTTGTTTTAATGTTGACTCTGTAAGACATGCAACACTGCAGAACCTTTTGTTGTTGGAACAGGGACATGGATGTGAAGAGTTTGATGGAATGTGTTGTATGAGTCTCTCTGATTATGCTAATTCGATGCACGCACAGCTGAGAACCCTGGCTCAGCTTACCCAGCAATAGTAAATGAGCAATATCCTAAGAATAACTAGATGGTTGTCTTCACGGGGCATTACAGGTTGAGTCAAACACTGCTGTTTAAAGTATTGCACTTATGTATCATTGTTAGGTTAATCATCGTAGCTATTAGACTTGCTTATAGTTGTGTGATAAAACAGGTGAACAAAATAACCCACAATGCCTTGCTCGCACAAAGAAAAAGGGAGGAATTGTTGCAGAATGACTCTAGGAGCAGGACCATAGAGCCCTGGAGGACTGTGCGAGCAAGGCAGGGGGTGGCCCCCACAGGTAACCAGAGACCAGACATGGGAGGAGAACGTGGAGGAAGCTGTGTGGGGCTAACCAATACTGTTGTGCCAAGGAGGAGTGGCTGAATACCACTCCTATATATATGTGAACTGCGTCACAAATAAACTAGAAGTTGCTTATCACCCATATTGGGTTGGCCTGTCTGGTTCTCCTCGCCGCTTACAGTTTACCTTTTATTGTCTATGGACATAATCAAGGTAATATTTGCTTTCAGAATGAATACTGTTTTCTAAACCAACTCTTATCTGAAGTTTGTTTTTCTCATTTATAATTGCCTAGGGTCTCAAGGTCTGCATCTGAGATGGTATATATGATCCAGCAACTCTAGAAGCCAATGTAAGCCAGGCCCATAGTACATTAAGCCATTAAGCAATATAGATGATTAATAAAATTGTACAAAACCAGAAAAATATTTCCTGATCAATCAGTAAATATTAAAGTTTATTAATAAAAGATGTAGAATTTGCAGGGCATTTGCTGCCATCTCTATCAGGTTCCAGGTCACTGGAGAGAAATCCCACTACCACTTCTCTGATTTATTAGATGGCATTAACTGTGTTAATGCAGCTTCTTAGAAAATGTTACCAGAAACTGGGCCTTCTAAACTGAGTGGTAAGATGCTGAGTGTCCTTCTTGCCTTTCAGAAAAAAAAAAAAAAAGGCATATTTTTAACTTCAGTCCTTGGCTTCATTGAGGATTTGTCAGAAGTTTATAAAAATAAGCATGTGTTTAAATGTTTTGCTTACTTGGTACTCAAGTACTTAAATCTTTGAAACACATAGCCCTTAAGGAGATGTGCTGTTTTTCATGGTTGAAATTTCTAGACTTCTCAAAGGATAGGGGGCATTCATATCCATTTTGGGCAGCAAGGATGTGTCTTCTGTGTAGCTCTGGAATTAATTTTATGTAACTGCTGGCCATAAATCTTCTGTGTCTTGGCCCCTTATACAGCCTGCCACAGTTACTTGTTTTCATTATTTTATTTTATAGGCAGATTGTTTATTCTAAATTATTTCAATAAGAAGCAATAAAGAAATGCTTTACACTATGTCAACAAAGCAAACATTGGCAAATGCAGTACAACTCTTACAGTCATCATGCAAGAAATCCAAACCAGCCAATTGCATATTTCTGAGATGGTGAAAAGAATTACAGTCTGAAAATTGATTGTGTCATCTTGCTTATTCCAGGCATTTCCTTTGTTGAAACTGTGTTCTGGGAAGCATATTACATTAGTATCAGATGCATGTACACCCAAGCTCCATGTGATATTTGCTGAAATTTTAGGGATATGGAATCTGTCTTTGAAATTTAACATATCTGTACGTAACTGTCCATATCCCCACAGCCCTGCCAGTATTAGTGTCAAGAATGTAATAGATACATGCAAGGGAGGTTTTTAGATTCCTTGCCTTGGGCAAAATTAGCTAATTATATTCATTCAGATACAGTACAGCACAAATGGAGCACATTAAATGGCTTAAATTAGGTCAAATTGAATAATTGAATTTATTCTTTTACTTAAAAAGAGCTTAATCAGCTGACAGTGCTAGAGTCAGGAAGTATTAATTAGAAGTTTGTATTTTGAGCTCCCTTATCTTCACTTGCAGCAATGTTACTTACATATCTGTTTCTCTTCATTACAGCCACTAGGAGATGATGTTCACCCATTCTCACTTGATGAAGGATTTGATTATGACAGTGTGGCACTGACCCCGAAGTTCTCTGAAGCTGAGCTCAAGGCCATTATAGATTTGTCTGAAGAGAAGAAAACAGGGACAGATGTGAAGTCGGCATGAGCTGAAGACTGGGTTGAAGGCATTCTGTGCAGTGCTGCTAAATAACATTTTAGGGGGTAAATCTAGCACTTCACTTTATCCTTATTTAGTGGTTTTGTCTGTGTGGCCAGTAAATGACATCCTCAATACCTTTTTGCTTGCTGTACCAATGTGCCTTGGAGACTTTGGTTCCCTTCCCCTGTATCTCCTCCTTCCAAGTCCTCATGAGAACATGGAATAGGAAGATGGTGCTTGCTCAGAGTTCTTGTATAATAGCCATTCAGCTACTATATTATATGTCTGTACAATGATTTGCTTAGGCATTCAGGTTGACTGAAGTCTGCATTTGTTCCTGAACCCAAACAGGATTTTTGTATAATAATAATGTTGTATAGAAAATATTTATATAGATAATATTTTTAGTCTGCAGTGTTTAGCTATGATGTTGTTTTCCAGGTGGTACAAGGCATTTGGAAGGATGTATCCAGTGACAACCATGAATTCCCTTTTGTAGAAAAATCCTTGAGCAGGGTGCATGCTGTATTGGTTCAGGTGAGGCGTGCTGGAGTAATTGCTCCATAGGACCAAAGCTAGCTGGTGGAATTCAAAATAGCGCTATGGCTACTATTGCTTCTGTTTGGTGCAGACTCAGGTCCTGACTAGTGCTAAACTAGTCCTAGAGCTGCCGTTTACCTACTTCTTTCAGTAATGCAAATAAGAGCTTTCTGCAGCTGACAGATCAGTCCATAAACTCACTTCATTATAAGGTTTAAATGTACGGAGTTACATGAGTGGATAAATATGGGAATGTTGTTTTGGTTTTTTTCTCTGTTTTTTGAGCTACTTCAGTTCTGCAGAGAAATAAATATTCCTGTTTCCAATAAACTCGTTGAGTTCATCAAAATTGACGTTGTATAACTCCTAACAATAATAACATGTGCCTTCCACACAAAGTAAAAAATAATCATCTCATCCATTAAAAGAATTGGCATTGAAAATACAAATTTCTGTTCATATTGAAAATTGGCATTGAGGTGATTCCAAATTCCAGCTTATGGCTTATACTAAGCATCACTGAAATACAGCATACTCTGGAGTTGAGTAAAGGTGAGAAGAGTGTGTATCTTTGACACAGGGTAGTATGTACTCTAGCTATGAGGTTTTTAGAATTACTTTTTTCCAGCTTACTGTGGAAGCTTCACTATTGAGGTTTGGTTTAACGTCACTGCACTGAATTGTATTATTCATTGTTTTCTGGTGAAACTACATTAGCTAAAGTCTGTTGACCAACATTTTGTCCTTGGCCTGTCTATCTCCATTACTTTTGAAGTGGGTGAATATATTACTTATGAAGTGGGATCAATATAGGAAGGGAGCAGACATACTAGAGACCAAAACACAAGTTGCTTAAAGGCTGTGAATGAAATCCCCGTGCCTGGTCGGCTGATCTGTTATTGGCAATTTAGAAAAGCAAGGAAAGGTGCTTTGATTCTCCAAAGTAAATGTTCTGGATCAGTAATTTTGTAGACCATAATCACACACCACTGAAATCTGAATAGTATTTGTTCTGAGAAATGGTGTTTACCTTGATTAGGGGGATATAGTTCAAGAGCGAGATTCATAGACTCATAGAATAACAGACTGGTTTGGGTTGTAAGGGAACTTAAAGTTCATCTAGATCCAACCCCCTGCCATGAGCAGGGACACCTTCCACTAGACCAGGTTGCTCCAAGCCCCATCCAAACTGGCCTTGAACACTGCCATGGATGGGGCAGCCACAGCTTCTCTGGGCAACCTGTGCCAGTGCTTCACCACCCTCACAGGGAAGAACTTCTGCCTAAGAGCTCATCTCCGTCTCTCCTCTGTCAAGTTAAAGCTATTCCCCTTTGTCCTGTCCCTGCAGGCCCTTGTCAGAAGCCCCTCTCCAGATTGCTTGTTGGCCCCTTAAGGTACTGGACTGCTGTATGTATCCCCAGAACCTTCTCTTCTCCAGAAAAGAAAGGGGTCTCAGACAAGATGTTTAAAGAGAGTAATATAAAACTGCCAGTGTGTTGTATAGAAAAACTAGTCTGTATAGGTTCTTGCTTGTAGGAGATAATGAGAAATTAATTTTTTAGATTTACACTAATAAAGATGCCTGTGCTGTAGTTTTTGAGATAATTTGCTATCTATCAGATTCTACTGTTGTTTGGGAAACATCTTCCTTTTTTTTTTTAAATGTGAGTTCATTTGAATTCCATGAATTGTGTTGTTGAACCCAACCTACTTTGAATGAAGTGCTTCAGATCCAACTGGAATATTCCAGTGAAACATTCAGCTAAAATTTCCTGAGCAGATTTAATTATTAATTCACCTTCTTCTGGAAGACACAGTTAATGTGTATAAATGGGAGGGATAAGAACTAAGTTCTGGAAGAGTTCCAATGGCAAATCTGGGAGGAACAAATGGAGAACTACTGCATAAAGATAGCAAGGTCTGCCTTTAAAAGCCTCAACAGAGAAATAAGAGGGACAGCCTCATTACTATATGTATGTATAGCAAATATAAAGCAAGAGACCTGTGTGTACAGAGTTTGCTATCCTGCAGACAAAGAATCAACCATAAATGAAGATGAACTTTTGTGGAATAATGAATTCAGAACTTTTCTGTATGTTATTATAAAAAAGGTATGAGGCACACAAACTAGAGATTCGTCCTGTTGGAATCTTATAGCCAGTAGCGTCAATGAGAAACCTTGTCCAGGGATTCATGATGATCTTCATTCCAAATCACCTCTGGAATCTCTTAAGTACATTTTCTGTTCATTTCATTATCAGTTTTTCCCTGTACATTAGAGATACATCCAGCCATTCAGGACCTTCTCTCATACGATGAGATGATTCTTTTACCAGATGTTCAGAATACCTATTATGCTCTGTAAATATCATTCAGTCTAGTCATTGTATGGTTCTGTTTGATATAAAGAAACACTTTGTTACAGAATACCCAACAAAATTGGAACTCTAGTGACAGAGGAATGGGGATAATTCACTTACATTTACACCACTCATGAGATAGATTTTTGCTCTTTTTTAAGAAAGATGAATATCACAGTTGTGGTCAGGCAATGCAGGCTTCATTTTCTGAATATTTTATTGGCTTGCCCCTGTGGTTGTTTTTGGACTGTACTTTTCAATTGATTATCCTTCACAGAGGAGGCATGTTTCCCTCTTCTCCATTACCAGGTTGTCATTTTTAAGAACATACTTTATGTGCATGTTAGATTTTATACATGTACATGGAGTTAGTTACCTGGAATTGTTTCAGTGTTCACAAGGTGGTTCAAAGTCTGAATAATATGTATCTTTTCTTCTTATAGCTTGTATTCTTTTTAAAATATTCAGCATGAGTTGTGAGGGATGTTGTCCTTTTCTGTAAGGATGTTGTCCTTTTCTATTTACAGTCTTTTCTAAACATTTAGACTCTTTTCCAGAATTAAAGGCAAAATTCACACATGGAACAGGAAGCTTAAAGTGCTACTTGGAATCAACTTAGGAGCTGCTGCAGTAGGGAATATGATTTTACCCCTAGTACACTGGCAAGGATTTAGAACTACAGAATCTTTCACCCCTTGGAAGTTAAGGCTGGGTGATGCATCTCTCTAATCCCTTTGTGTTCGTGACTTCATTGATGTCCAAAGTGCAACAGATATACATCCATATAATTCAGAGAGCTCATCTGTAGGCAGGCGAAGAGAGCTGGGCTTGTTCATCCTTGGAGAACAGAAGGCTCTGGAGATACCTAAGAGCAGCTTCCAGTGCCTAAAGGGACATATAAGAAAGCTGGAGAGGGGCTTTGGACAAGGACAAGGGGGAATGATATAGTGAAAGGTGTTACCAGACTGTTTCTTTCCGCAGTCTTGATGGATCCTGAGCTGTGGGGAGGAACTCCTGGAGTTTTATGGAAAGAATAATATTCCTTCCACTAGGGTAGGAACCTGAATGGTTGTTACCTTGGCTGGCAATGGTGCAAGCTTAGATATTACTAATGCTCAGAGTTACTCCTTGTGGGCGTAAAAGGAAGAGTAATTATTTGCTGAGATAATGGTTGTGAAAGAGTAAGATAAAAATGGAAGAAATGAAGAGATGCAGACAAATCTGACTCAGATACACTTCTAAGTATATTTCTATTAATGCACAAAGGTATCATTACATTACATACAATACATACATAATTTTAGTATGGAGAGTACTCACCAGATAATTCAGAACCTCTTGAAGAGGATGGCATGGAAGCAAATCCTTACTGTTATGGAGGAGACGCTTTGATCCTCTGGCCTTGATTTTCTGCTGCTATAAACTGGCAGAACTCCACCGAAGCCATCTGTATTCATACAGAGCAGATGGGACCCAGGTATTTACAGTCTTAGCTGAAAGAATATGGAGCCAAATTAGTTCCTGATTTAACATTACTGAATATATAGCTATATATATGACCTATTTTCATGATGGGAAAATATTTAAATGCAGAGCCAATGCAAACATGAAATATTAAAAACGTATCTTGAAATGTAAAAAACATCTTTAACAATTCAGTTACTAATTTTACTCTGGTAATTTTGGAGTTTCTGTAGTGGCGTGTGCTTAGAACATTGATTTTTGCTTTAATAAAAATATCACATGTATTTTCAAATCCTGTTCAAATTGTGAAACTTGATTACACACATTAATAAAGATTCCCACCTGCTTTAAAGTTTGTTTGGGTTGGGTTGGGTTTTTTTTTTCTTTTCTCCCTCTTCATCTTGGCAAGGATTGGAAGTGAACTTTGCTTTATCTTGGAATTAATTTAGGAAAGTATGATATCCTTTGTGAAAACATATGCTTTCTTATAAAGGCAGACTTTCTTGGTTAGTGATGCAGAAATAAGAAATAAGGGCTGACAAGAAAACTGGAGAGGGGCTTTTAAGAAGGGCCTGTAGGGACAGGACAAGGGGGAATGGCTTTAACCTGACAGAGAGGAGATTGAGATGAGCTCTTAGGCAGAAGTTCTTCCCAGAGAAGCTGTGGCTGCCCCATCCATGGCAGTGTTCGAGGCCAGTTTGGATGGGGGCTTGGAGCAACCTGGTCTAGTGGAAGGTGTCCCTGCCCATGGCAGGGCGTTGGGACTGGAGGAGCTTGAAGGTCTCTTCCAACCCAAACCATTCCATGATTCTGTGATTTTTATGACCTCATGACTTTCTTGGACCATGCTGAACAAGTGGCTTACTACCCCCCTTCACAGGCTGAAGTTCAGACTTGGTGTTTTCAGGCCACCCAGTGAAGTGAGGAAACCCATGATAAGGGTTCCCTCTGGCCTCAGGAGGTGAGCTCCCTTCACCACAGAGCTGAGCACTTGTGATAGCGCAGGGCATTCCCATCACAGTGTGCTTTCTTGTGGTGAGGCGTCAGTTAGCACAGGTGGGTGTGAGGTACCACGTGTCCTGGGCTCCTCATGGAGGGATGCACCCTTTCACTGAAAGGCAGCTGCCTTTGCCAGTCTTAGGCATATGCAATTCACCTGAGTGCTAAATGACTGCTTATCCCTTAGGAAAACAAGACAGTTTTCTCTGACATAGTATTAAGTTGTACCTCATCTCAAAAGGTGATGAGTTTGGTAAGTTTGGGACTTCTGGCTGTTGGAGGTGACACCTTGTGTTTTGCGGGCAAGGTACTCTAAGCGGATTTTGCAGGTGCTGTGAAATGCCACGAAGTTAGACTGAAGATAGTTTTAGTGCTTGTTTATGACAAGTTTGCAAGAAGAAAAGTGAATCTTAAGAGGTACTGTCATTTTTATAGACAGGCTACTTTATTTGCAACTGCAGTGCTCCAAAGTTAAAATGGAAATCAATTTTAATGGTCTATGAAAAA